CACCATCATACCGCAAAAAAATCGCAGAAAAAGCAATATTTTAAATGACCACACAGCATCCCACAGGTCAATTTCCGCAAGATGCTTTGATGAAAAAAACCTATGAGAACCTACAGGTATCAATAAGCAGGAACTGAAATTTTGCTTCTTTAAAAACCTGACAGGATCTGAACGATTATTCGTCGGATGGTATAATACATTTTACCAAGAGACAGAATTTACTGCCAATGCAGCTATGCCATATGCGTCTACAAAGGTCTATTTCATCAAAGATTTCATTTCGTGCCTTTGCCGAAATTGCGTACATCCGCTTAAAAGCTTCTATTAATTCACACCCAGTGAAATAAGCTGCCCACCAGATGCCAAAAAATGCGCATTTCCGAGTAATCATAATATAATGCTACAAAGAATGATGAAAGCACCAGGTACTAACACAGATGTACACACCACGTCACCGAAGAAAAGCGTCTTCTGAAAAAGTTAGAAAGCCAAGAAAAAGATGCAAATTTTTAACAAGACATAATTTGCATCTTCACGAAATTCACAGTTTCGAGACAAAATCTCCGATTTTCACATTTACTGGAAATATGCGTAGTCAAAATCGTTCACAAAACCCACGAATTTTACATTTATTGGGAGCGTACGGGCCCAAAAATGCCTTCAATGCCTTAACAACAGCAAACCAGAAAAGTCAAGCATAGACGGAAATATACAATTACCCATCGTCGCCGAAGTCGACGGCGCTTCCTCAGATGGTTTGGGCAGCAGTTTGGAAGTGGTTAACAAACGTAAAGCAGCACTAGAAAAGAAGCACTAGTTTTGAACATACGTATGATGCAACAGAAAATGGAAAGCAGTTAGTTTTCCAAGCACACCTTCTTCACTGAATGATGAAAGAGATTCACGAGCCTTCCAAACAGCAAACAGTAAACTGAGTACCATGCATACTAGAGATTCGCCAAAAATTGGTGTCACACATGTTCAGGAAGGTACCTGGCCGTCTGTTTTGAAAAAGTGCTTCACTACGCAGCTGAGAGCCAGAAGATAATACGTCCTTTTCCTTACAAATCAGCAGATTGCGCAAAATATTACATTAAAAAATCGCTTGGTGCTGAGCACATAAGCATTTGACTTTCTCATAAAATTACATGATCGTTTTAACTGAAATGGAGGGGACCAAGTGGACAAAAGAAATTATTAGCACGTCAAGTGGATTTCTGCGAAAATGCCGAACTCAAAACCGATATGGGAACAATGTAAATTGTAGCAGCGGTCTAATAACAAATATAAGTTTGCCTAAAATATCGCAGCAACGGGGCCCTTAGGCTGAATAATGCAGAACTTATGGGTTGTTATGTTTTGGTCCCAAGGCGCAATGTTAGTCAAGCCCAACTGGATAACTCAAACACTAAATTAGCAAGCTGTGCAAAAAATACACTGCAATTCGTCTATTAGATCTCGGGCGCCGTTATCTTATTTCATGCAAACGAGCGAATTTTAAGTGAATCCGACAGTTGCTGGACAATGTCGTTAGTATTCGTACAATAAAAAAGAGGTTTAAATGAATTTCACTAAAAAAACCCAGTAATTTGGAAGATGAAATCCCGAACAGACACCATAACACATCCAAACTGAGGCATACCTAGTTCCCGATAAAGAAGATAGGCGAAGCGAAGAAGAGGAAAGGTACGGCATTCCTAGCCTCTCAGCCTGGCCCCACAAAATGCCACCTGCCTAGACGGTTTGGTATTTTGAAAGATTCTAGCATTCTAGCTGGATTTTGGACATCTCTTATTTAATCTTATATTTCTTGCCTCAATCTTCCAACTGAATCCCTTAGGA